GCGCCACGCGCACGGATCTTGTCTCATGAGTTTGTTGTATTCGCCTGAAACTTTCGTCAAACTTAGTCTTCAATCTGAATCATAACACATTCTGGCATCAACAATGCTTGAACTTGAAGACACGCTCTTTTCATTTTAAAAATTTTTTGTAAATACATGTATGAGTTTTACGTCGTTCGCAACGGCATAATAAGGTCATACGAACAGGCGGGACACACCAAACATTTTCAGTTGGTAGGAAATTTTGAGTTTTGCCCGGGTGGCAGCCGGAGCCTACTCTTATCCCTTATCAAGGGATCTTTAACGTGCGCAACTTGCACATGGGACCTCTGAGAATTTTCATCCTTGTCCGAGAAGGATAGGTGTAGATCTTACAAACCATAAGATCAGGGGTGTGGCTGGAAGACAGCAGGAAGAAGGAGCCAACGAGTAGAAATAGAAAGGGTGCAGAAAAAAGTCAGGAGCCCAGAGGAGGGGGCTAAGGAGGTGAGGGGGAGGGGGCAGAAAGAGAAGACGAAAGCGGGCGACAGAACATTGCTAGAGAGCAGCAAGGGAGTTGAAAGGAGACAATTCTAGCGAAGAAAATTGTCCCGTCGCTATTCGGATTCGAACCTGGAAACGTTTGAATGAGAGGCGAACACCGTAACACCCCCCCCCCCCCCCTGTATTGTCCTTCGGAAAAGCAGCATTAAAAAGTGATTTAACGAACCTTAAAATTATAGTTTTCCTTATTATACAACATATTTACAGCTTCAAGTGACAGTCGACAGCCCTGTTATTAAGAAATGAACTATTTTAACAGTGTACAATTATTCTGATATAATATATTTCCCTTATTCTCACGTTGTGTGCATTGATTCTATGTGCCATTCGACAATTACACAAAAAAAGTAGAATTTAGTTTAGTTTTCGTAGAGGTTTTACGGCACTCACAACTGCATAAGGTCATATGAGCGCCAGAAGATTACAGGCGTTACAAGGGAGTAACAGACATATAAAAGAAGAAGGGGAGATAAGGATGATAATGATAGATGTTTGATAGGAAAGAAGAAGCAAACCACACCAGAGCACCCACCAACCACCCATAAACTTGTTGTTATTGATCCAGATTTAACAAAACTTAAAACTATAGTTTTCATTATATAAATAAAACATGACGTTTACAGCTTCAAAGTGACAGTCAACAGTCTTGAAATTAAGAAATGAATTATTTTAACAGTCTACAATTATTCTAATATATCTTTGCGTAATTCTGAAGTTGTGTTTAGATCCTATGTTTTAGTAAGAGTTTTACGGCACTTGCAACACAATAAGGTGATATAAGTGCCGAAGAATAGAGGTGTTACAAGAGAGCAACATACACGAAAAAGAAGGAAGAGAGATAAGGACGATAGACGTTTGATAGGAAAGAAGGAGCAACCACACCAGAGCCCCCGCCATCCCCCCACCTATGTACCAATAAAAAATCAGACAAAAAAGTAGAACTTACAAAGAGATTGACAACAATTCCACCACAGAGGAGTCACTAAAAATTTATTCCATAAATCTAAAAACACAAAACATAGACTGACACCAACATTAGGCAAACTGAAATACTCACATATAAGAGCAAAATAACCAATGGCCATTGAAAGTAAAGTAAGATTCCCAAAAACTTTGCGTAATGATTACAATAATTACAAAATGTGACGGGTGGTGAGAAATTGAGAGACTTCTCGCAATCCACAAATGGGGAGATATTGGCCAAAAATCTACACAAGGGACAAATTTGCAGATTTTCTATTGATGCCATATTCTTTAAGTATGACATGCCTTTTTACCTTATTATTTCACACTTATAAATTGTAAAAACTTCACTTATAGCTGTGATGTAAGCTGTTTCCATAAGGCTCAAATCCGAGAAGTAACTTATTTTGTCAGCACACTTCACAAATCATAAAGTAATGATTCAGACAACTCAACACACATATAAGACAGCACAATCAAGCAAGCAGCTGTACATGTACAGAGGAACTCGGATTCAACGAAAACTCAGATTCAACTAAATGAGTTGGATTCCCTGGGTATTTTTTATTATTTTAAAAATCAATAAAAATAAATAAGATTTAACGAAAACTTGGACTAATCAAAGGAGTTGGATTTCCTGTTTTTTTAAATTCATATAAGTCAATAAAAATAACTTGGATTAAACGGACACATGAACAAACAAGCTCAGATTCAACGAAGTCGATCGCAGGGTGAACAGCCCCAAATGACGTAGTTTCACTCATTTTTCACCCGCAACGAACCACATCAGTTCCTGGAAACCATCCATGGCACCTGCATCGTGAATCATTATTCTGTGACTGTGTGCGTGTGTCCGGGGGGAGGGGGACACACACTGTCCGGGTGTGGGAATGTCAGTAGAGATACAAACAACGTCACGCCATAGTTATTTTCTTTTCCCCGACTTTCGATCAATATTACAAAGATAAGCTAGTATTGACATAGACCTGAGTAATGAAAAGCGCGCTGGTCTGTGGAATCAAACGTTGCCGCATGCTAGGCTCTACGCAGCAACACAGCTTGTTCGGCAAACAATACGTTATAGATAAAAGATGACACAAGCGTGCATTTAAACCAATCGGCCCTTTGGCACAGTGTGTCCTTCGTAGAATCCAGTGTATTTTCCTGGAATTTTCAAGCATTTCTTTGGTATGGCATCAATGAAACGAAAAATGCCTCTCATTTGAAACCAAACTACTTTTGATTGAGAACATCGAATACATTATACATTACTTGCTCGGTACTCATAACTATCTACACAAAAATCTTATGTTTGCTATCAGGAACACTCAGATTCAACTAAATTGAATTGAATGTCCGGCCCAACGACTTCACTGAATCCGAGTACCACTGTACAAGCACCACACAGGTTGACAATGTCAGTTTTAGTTTTAGTAGAGGTTTTACAGCGCTCGCAACTGCATGAGGTCATATGAGCGCCAAGGGGTGGATGTCATTAGAGAAGCCTTTACAGGGAATCAGGCTTACTCTGCTCACCTCTCAAGCTTCAACAGCACAAAGTCTGCTTCGACTATCAAGGCACCCCGGAAATAGTGGGTCACAAGATGTGTGACAAACATACAAAAGAATAAGAGGATAAAAGACAATAGTAAGGAAAGGATTAGGAAAGAAAAAGCAGCAGTTCCCTGTTGTAGATCAGGCACAGTTATGAGAGTGACATTGATGAAGCAGTCCATTTACAATTCTACTGTGCATGAACGAGAAATGTCCCCCCTTTGAGAATGGCCTAAAGACACTTCAGTCAGTGGTACCGCTGCGGGGGGTTGACAATGTCAGGTTTTGTGTCAGAATACATTCAACTCTTCACAATGTGGTACATGTACAAAAGACTCTCACTCTTATTAGTCACTGATACCTTGATTAGTGAGGTTGACCAATATTTCTACCTGAAATCATAACGTAATGTCATAAAACAAAATAATACAACACCATACATCAAAAGTGATTTTCGGAGGGGAAAAAAAAACATAACGAAGGATACTTGTTTTTTGTCCAGACGTTGGGAGTTTACAACAACCATTTTTGGCATCGCATAAGCACAAGCAATTTGAAAGACACACCAACAAGGGGTAGTGGAAGTGTTAAAAATCATCCAATGACACATTTTGCAATTAAGAAAGCTCAGTTTCAGTAAAGAGAAGTACAAAAACAAAATAAAATAACTACATGTAATATATATATAGTAGGGAAAAAGTAGGGGGGAAAAAAAGTACAAAAACAAAATAACAAACTATATGAAATATATTATATATATATATATATATATATATATATATATATATATATGTAACAGGGAAAAGGGCAGATAGAAAAAGTAGGGGGAAAGAAAAGAAAGAGGACACACCGGTCACATCCTCCAACTACCCAATCATTAAAAAATTTTAATTAACAAGTTTTTTTAAAAATTACTCATCTCAAAGAAGGCAACAGGAAAAAG